CAAACTCGTGTAGAATACACACATAACGCATCTTTGTGCAAAGTTTCTTATAGTCTCTGAGATCCAGGTGTACATACGGACAGAAAGACAGGGCTAGATCGACTCGTCTCGACATGCTGATCAAGAATATATATACTTTGTGGGGTCTGCCACGCCTCCTTCTGCCTGTTACATTTTCAGCTCCCGCAAACCTAATATACTCTTGTACATTTTATGTACAGAGTATAAAACAAGATAGAACGCTACAGTCGAGCAAGCCCGACAGTAAAATAGCCTGCACTCTCCCCACAAAAAAGAAAAATTAAATTATTAAAAAAAATGAATGAATTAATAAATAAATTAAATTGGAATACATGTTTATGTTCAGTTTTAACAGCATACATTTGCATCATAAATACGCATAGGTGTTTATATGCGTGTATGTATGCAGCACAAAGTTGAACCAAAGCAGCAACAACAACAACAGCTGCGGGCAGCGCATGAGCAGCGATTTTACTTATGGTTATAACTTTCTTCAAAATTGACCTATCATGATGAAATTTGGCACACGGGCACATTAGAACTAACTGAATGTACCTACCAAAATTGATTTCAAAATTCCAAGAATTACGGAAGTTATAAGAAAAAACACGAATTGCGGGGGAGTGGGGGGGGTGCATCAGAAAAAAACACAAACTCGTCCTTAGGACTTAGGAGAACCTGGATACCAAGTTTGGTTATTCTAGCTCTTATACTTTCTGAGATCCTTGCGTTCATACAGACGGACGGACAAACAGACGGACGGACATCGCTATATCGACTCGTCTTCTCACCCTGATCAAGAATATATATACTTTGTGGGGTCTGCCACGCCTCCTTCTGTGTGTTACATACATGCGCACAAAACTAGTATAGCCTTTCACCCTTTGGGTACAGGCTATAACAAGAGAGAACGCTACAGTCGAGCAAGCCCTACAGTAAAATAGCCACAAAAAAGGAAAATAAAAAAAAAAATTAAAACAAAATTAAATTATTAAAAAAAATGAAGTAATTATTTAAGTAATTAAAGTATGTTTTTGTTCAGTTTTAACAGCATACAGTTGTACTAAAGCAGCAACAACAACAGCTGCGAGCAGCGCTGCCGGCAGAGCTGCAGGCAGCGATTTTATTTATGGCTATCACAATTGACCTATCATGATGAAACTTGGCACACGGACGCATTAGTACTAGCTGGATGTGCCTACCAAAATTAATTTCAAAATTTCAAGTATTACGGAATTTATAAACAAAAACACGAATTGCGTGGGAGTGGGTGGGTGTATCAGAACAAAAAACTTGACCTGCCTAGGACTTAGGGGAACCTTGATACTAAGTTTGGTTTTTCTAGCTCTTGTACTTCGTGAGATCCTTGCGCTCATACAGACAGACGGACGGACGGACATGGCTATATCGACTCGTCTTGTCATCCTGATCAATAATATATATATTGTAATATAATATTGTTCCTTTATATCGTTCCGTTTTGTTGCTGGTTCGGTGTTTTCTCTTGGATTTTCATGATCATATCAATGTCTTCAATGAAGTCTTCGATATCACCGTTATTTTACCCTGTACCCGTTGGGTAAAAAGGGTATATTAGGTTTGTGCAAAGTATGTAACATGCAGAAGGAAGCATCTCCGATCCCATAAAGTATATACATTCTTGATCAGCATGACGAGAGAAATCGATCGACACATGTCTGTCCGTCTGTCTATCTGTCTGGATGAACGCAAGGATCTCAGAAACTATAAAAGCTGGAATAACCAAAGTTGGTATCCAGATTCTCCTAGGTCCGAGAAAGGACGAGCTTATTTTAATTTTTGAATTTTCCTCCCCTTCCCGCGCTACAGAATTTCGTCAAAACTGTCCACATTTCAAAAGCTACATAAACCAAACTTTGCACACGCAATATACATGTATGTACAGTTATCTACTTTAGTTTGACCAATTCACTTCTGTTCCCATCAGGCCCTTTGAGCAAAGCGACCACACGTGGCCGCTTCCACTCTTCCGGGAAGTATCCACTTGCTAAACAGCGGGAATACAACGCTGCCAAGTGCTGGGGGATAGCTCTCCAGACCGCCTTTGCAACCGCTCCAGTGATCCCATCCAATCCTGGCGATCGCCTGCTCCTCAACCGCGCAATACATGCAGACACCTCCGAAACCTCGAGAGCTGGAGGGGCAATTTCGGCAATGGCTATGGGAGCTCTGGACTCCGCAACTGGGAAAAAGTTGCGGAGGAGCACTCGCGCACAATCGTTCCACGAAACGACTGTCTCGCCATTGGCCCGAAGCGACCCTATCTTGGCGTTTCCTCTTCGTCTGTTGTTGCATATGCGGTACACATGTCCCCACGGGTCGTCCCTGTGCTCCTTCACAAACTGCCTCCAATCATCCTCCTTCGCCTTCAGTATTTACTTCTTGTACTGAGCCAAGGCAATCCTCAACTCAGTAGCAAGAAGCCGCTCATCGCCGTTGTGATGACGACGCGCATACTGCCTCCGGCGTCGGATCCTACTCACCCGTCGGCGCATGTCGTCCAAGTCGGCCGTCCACCAGTTCACCCTCCGAACTGTGCTCGTCTCACGGCGTCCTATCGCCCTATCGCACGCTTGGTGTACGATAGACCGTAGGGCCGCTACCTGCTCGTCCATCGGTGCGTCTGCCGAGATCGCCTCTGCTCCTCCGATGACCTCCTCGTCGAACAGTCGCCAACGCGCTCTCGCGAGATTCCAGGACGGCACAGGAGTAATGGTACTCTCAAATGCGTTCTGGGGTCCAGGTGTCACCACAACAGAGATTCTGTTGTGGTCACTCAGGACCCACTCGTCTACTCTCCATTGGTATGAAGCCCACACCAATGCTGCGTCATTGGCGATTGTGACGTCGATGTCGCTCCTCCCGTTCGGTCCATCGAACGTGAATACATCGCTGTATTCGTTTAGAGCCCCAGCACTACGCCCCGTGATCCACTCAGCCAGCAGCTCACCCCGCTGTTCGTTTAAATGTCCCTGATTCACATCAGAAACTTTGCTAAACCACAGGGGGGATACTGCGTTTGCGTCGAGTCCGAGGATGGCAGGCGTGTTGCTAGCGCGCAACAACACTTCATCCAAGTAGCCTAGGTACGGCTCAATATCCGCTCCAAATTGGCAGTATACGGAGGACAGGTAGGCTGTGCCAAAGCCACCCGTCACTCTCACGCATACCCCAAGGTCCGTTGTCAGGTCCTCCATTTGGACGCACACGATGTTAGGGTCGTCCACAACGATGGCCGCCTTCTTCCTCCTATCTGCGTAGATTCGCATACTGGATGGCAGTCCAGTATTGCGATCCAAGTGGGGGCTAACACAGGGTTCCTGGATCAGAGCGAAGGTGTATCCAGAATTCCTTATCCTAATCCCACACCCTACTGTCGCGTTGCTGCATCTCGCACAGTTAGTTTGCAAGACACTAAACATTTTAGTGCCTTGCTTGCACCCTTGCTATGACAGCAGCATAGATCGGACATGCCTCCGAGAGCGTGCGATGCCCCGAAGGATGCCCTTTCATGCGGCAGTTGCAGCAGTCCGCCGGCTTTTGGCATTTGGCCGGTCTGCCCACATTGACGACACGCTGTGGTTGCGTTGCATTCCGCCACCTTGTGGTTGAAACTCATGCACCTATGGCATGCATATGTTCGCACCAGCTTCCTGCATCTAAAGGACTGGCCGGTCACGAAGATTCGGCCAGCCTTCTCCAGTATAGTTGCTGCTGCCTCATCCACATCCAGCGTGAGGTTGATCCTGCCATCGTCCGTGACAGATCACCTCTTGGTCTCCAATCTGACCGCCTCTTTATACTTCTCCAAGGTCATCTGCTCCTTGAAATTAAGGGCATACGCGTCCTCCAGGAACTGCTCCGGCGAAACCTCCGTGTCGACGTCGTACACAATCACAAGGCGCGTCAAGTTTTCCAAATTAGTATATTTGTACGCTTTCGATGTTTCATCATAGGCTACGTAAAACATAGGCCACTGTTGTGGTGTTCTAGAAAACTCAGGCAAATCCTGTAGTTTACGTACGTAAGGTTAACTGTGTGAGTTGTCGTGATAATTATTATTCTGTGATGACGAAGATGAGTCCAGAGACCTCGGCGGCATATGAGGGACAGGTTGCAACGAATGCGGCAAAAAATTCGTTGCTTGTAGAGACGTATAATCTGACGGCGGCGGCATAGCATTTGCAGCTTGTAGAACAGTGTGTTGTGGAGGCGGCGGCATTGTAATGGAATTACCCGGTTCGTTATTTCTAACTACATGCTGCTGCCTTTCTAAGTGCTTTTCTGGGAAAATGTTATGATCTACTAAGGGCATTACATTTTGAAACATACCTTTACTTTCGGCATCATTACGATTTAGTTTTTCTTCTAAGTACTGACTCAGCTCATCATTACGCTTGAGCACCTCTGCAAACTTATTTTTCAAGTCCAGAACCTTTTGCTGTAGTTGCTCAACCATGCAGGGGGCAACCACTGTAGCGTCGAGCTCATCTTCATTGTCTGACCTTTGAGACATGTTGTGTTCAAATCCTAAACGGACTGGCGGCTTTCCTTTAGTTGTTCGATGACTGACTCTTGGCATAAGAGCCGATGTCCGGCGGGCAATGCACAAAACTTTTATTCCACTGTGCGGCTGACGATGCACAAAACTTCTTTATATTCACCACACCTTGTATATCCACCACTGTGCGGCAGGCAATGCACTGTAAACGTAGATATATTTTGTGTACTCCAATCTGGCGTGACTTTTACAGGTTTCTCCAATTGTGCGACGATGCACAAACCTTATGTCAATCAGTGTGCGGCAGGCAATGCACAAAACTTTATATCAACCACTGTGCGGCAGGCAATGCACAAAACTTTTTCACCACTCCTTATATAGCCACCACTGTGCGGCAGGCAATGCACTGTGAACGTAGATATATTTAGTACTCCGATCTTTACGTGACTTCTTCAGGTTTCTCCAATTGTGCGGCTGCGATGCACATTCCTGAATGCAGCAACAACAAATTACAAAGAACTCAAATATCAAATAGTTGGGGACATCATCACTCCCACACAGAACAAGCAACAGTTCGTGGCCATGTATGAAAAAGTAAAGAGAAACATGCATGCATATGTACACACATATGTATGTATGTATGCCTGTGTACGTACATATATAGTATGTATGTACATTCGTATGTATGTATACATTGGACAATCGAGCACTGTTGTTTGATTGTAATAAATAATGTTCTATGGTTTTAAATCAAAATTTTAAAACTAACAAGAGAGAACGCTACAGTCGAGCAAGCCCGACAGTGTAATACCCTGTACCCAGGTAAACTTCCGTCACTGAGTTATATGCGCCCATAGCAGCAGCAAAAAGAGGAAGAAGAAGAGCGAACTTGTTGCTGCAGTTTGTGGGGGTTGTACTGTAGAGAATTTGTTTCGCTAATAACTTTTCTCAGAATTGACCGAATTGGATAAAATTTCAAACAATAGTAGTAGACAATTGCAGTTGTTGTTGTTTTTATACCCTGTACCCGTTGGGTAAAAAGGGTATATTAGGTTTGTGCAAAGTATGTAACATGCAGAAGGAAGCATCTCCGACCCCATAAAGTATATATATTCTGAATCAGCATGACGAGAGAAATCGATCTAGACATGTCCGTCCGTCTGTCCGTCTGGATGAACGCGAGGATCTCAGAAACTATAAAAGCTAGAATAACCAAAGTTGGCATCCAGATTCTCCTAGATCCGAGTAAGGACGAGTTTGTGTTTTTTTCTGATGCACCCCCCCCCCCCCCACCCACTCCCCCGCAATTCGTGTTTTTCCCACAATTCCCGTAACTCTCGTATTTCTTGGAATTTTGTACTCAATTGGCAAATACATCCATATATTTGATTATGTGTCTGTGTGCCAAATTTCATCCTGATAGGTTAATTATGAAGAAAGTTATAGACATAAACATAATCTCTGCCCAAGCTCTGCCGGCAGGGGTTGCTGCTTTGACTTATTATACTCTGCACATGAAATATACAGAAGTATATTAGGTTTGCGGGAACTGAAAAATGTAACAGGCAGAAGGAGGCGTGGCAGACCCCACAAAGTATATATATTCTTGATCAGCATGACGAGACGAGTCGATCTAGCCCTGTCTGTCTGTCTGTCCGTCTGTCCGTCCGTATGAAAACCTGGATCTCAAAGACTATAAGAGATAGAGACACCAAATTTTGCACAAAGATGCGTTATGTGTGTATTCTATACGAGTTTGTTTTATTTTTTTGATTTTCCCCCCACTTCCCCCCTATGGGGGTTTTCCCGATTTTCCATTCGTATAATCGCCTATATCTCGGAGACTATGAGACCTAGGAACACCAAATTTGAGTCCCAGATGACTTATGTGAATACGCAGAAAATGTATATTTTGGAATTTCCCTCCCTCCCCCCTCTCCACCGCAAATCGCAATTTTCTCTAACTCCCGTAATTCTTGGAATTTCGTACTAAAATTGGAAATAGAATGGAAATACCCCCAGTTGGTTATTATGTGTCCGTATGCCAAGTTTCACTATGATAGACCGATTTAACGAGAAGTTATAGCCATAAATATATTTGCTGCTGCAGCGCTGTTTAAGCGCTGCCCGCGGCTGTTGTTGATGTTGCTGTTTGGTTGACTGCGAAAATGCTTACACAGACACGAATAGATGCGCATAGGCATACATACACTCACACAGACGCAATTGCTATGTAAATGTGCAATTATAAACCCTTTACGTGAGTTCGAATACCGAGAGAGGTAAAATCGATCAAATTTTTTTTTTATTTTCTTAATTTTTTTTATTTTTTATAATTATTGTAAACATATGTACAGAGTATTTCAAAGTCGGGACACCCGACTTTAGCTTTTTTACTTGTTTTTACTGCATACAAGCACGCATAGACGCGATTCTGATGTAAATCTATGCTTTTGAAATTGTACATAAACACTTATGCATGCATAAATAAATATTTAAATATTTATATTTAAATATTTTATATTGAATTAAATTAATTAATTACATTTTTTGGTATTTATTTAATTTTTTTTGTGGGGTGGTACAGGGTATTTAAGAGTTGAGCCCGCTCGACTTTAGCATTCCTTTCTTGTTTTTTTTTTATTTTTAATTTCTAAAATTATTCTAAACATATATACAGAGTTTCTTGTTTTTTTTTTTATTTTTAATTTCTAAAATTATTCTAAACATATATACAGAGTTTTTCGAAGTCGGGACACCCGACTTTAGTTTTTTTACTTGTTTTCTGATGGCATTATATTTACCACCGGTTCAAGAATGCCGTAGTATTTTGATATAATGCATAGGCAGACTATAAAAACACTTTTACACAAAGCAGTATGTAGCAGAAATGCTTGATTTCTTGTAGATCCATTTTCTTCCATGTTCAGTTTTTCGAGTGCAACAATAATTTCGTTGAAACATTTTGTAAAATCGCGTATACTAGCATATTTTTCAGACCAGCGCGTTTCACAAATTGAGTGAACATTGGGTACATATTGTCGGCAAATGACCGATTCCTTAAAAAAGTTTATGACGTTCTTAATTGTCGAAATAGTGTTTCGAATTTCCGGAACCGAATTTAAATCGTTCAATTTAGCTAAATTTAGCCTGTGACTGGCGCAGTGAAAATATAGGCTCTTAGTGAACGTTTTCTTTAAAATATTTTGCACACCGCCAATTTTGCCAGCCATTGTAGTGCATCCATCAAAACCTAGTCCCACACATTTCTCAGATTGAAGATTTATTTCAGCAATTAAATGTTTTATATTGGCAGCTTTAGTGTCAGCATTCATAGCCTTAAGCTCCACAAATCCGATGAACTCTTCCCGAATAAGCAGTTTTCCTTCATCAAATTTCTGATTACAATAGATAACTGCTCTTTTCCAGACAAATCTGCTGTCTCGTCTGCCAGTATACTATGAGCTGCAGCTTTTCTTATGTCTTCACATATAAATGACTTGATGAGTTAATTTTTATATGGATTAACTTTATTTTACACGATTAACTTATTGTACGTGCGTCTGCTCTCTTGGTGTGCTGAATTACAAGTGAAGTTTATTCATTATCCAGTTCCGATGGTTCATTCATCGGAACCATTTAAATGCTATCGGACTTAATTACTAGTTGTCGGTTAGTTATTGAGTGCATATACAATCCAACAGACTTTAAATTTTTTGAACAGATATCAATAAGCTCGTTTTGAATACTTGGAGACAAATAAGATGCATTTTTTCTGCCTTCAAATTTTTTCATCATCAATAAGTCGTAAAGTACACCTGTAGATAAGACAAATATATTTAATAGAAATTTTGACCACAATAGGCAATAATGGCTACCTTCATCATTTTGTTTTCCTCGTAACGGAAGATCAAGCGTACCGTAAAATATTTTTGTGGAAACAATAGATTTTAAAAATTGTCTATCTTTTTAATTACTTTTTCATGTCCAGTTTGCATTTTGACATCCACTGGTATCTGCTCCAAAAATAATTTCACAGACTTTGCAGCTTCCTTGTTCACTGTGAGACTTGCAGTACTCATGAATATTTTTAAACTTCGTGAACGGTCGTATAACAAAAGAAGAAACCACTCCACATATTTTGTGTGGCTTAAACAAAACGCAGTATATGCAAAAAAAACTCCTTTTAGTCTGCCTGAATACACCAACCAGGGCTTATAGATTTCAAGCCAATTATAATTAAATTTGCGCTTTAGGTGAGTGGCATTAGCAGCGAAATCATAATTGGACGGTGGCACCCAGCATTTGGCGAGTAACTCACGCTTTTGTGCGGGAGTAATCACTAGGTGTTTTTATCCACATTCCTATATCATATAAATGATAGTCATCTTCACAATTGTCAACGGTAGCTGTAGTTGGGCCTGAATAATCAGGGCTTTTTGGTTGCCGCCGGAGTCGCTAGGGCTATGTTTTCTTTTTGATGCTACAACGTGTATAAGCTCTAAGATTTACCATGTTACAATGTAAAATATCACACTTACATGAATTACTAGTAAAAAAACTTTCTAATCTCCTTTTTATACCCTGTACCCGTAGGGTAAAAAGTTATTAGCGAAACAAATTCTCGCCAGTACAACTCCCTCAAACTGCAGCAACAAGTTCGCTCTAGGAGCTCATGCAGACAGACGGAATTTTTCTCGTCATGCTGATTGGGGTCGAAGATGCTTCCATCTACCTGCTACTAAACAAGAAAGGAATGCTAGACTCGAGGGGGTTCAACTCTTAAATATCCTGTACCCACACCGAAAAAAATAAAAAAAAAATAAAATAAACTCGTCCATTCTCTGGCCTAGGAGAATCTGGATACCAATTTTATTTTAGCTCTTCTTCTTCCTCTTTTTGCTGCTGCTATGGGCGCATATAACTCAGTGACGGAAGTTTACCTGGGTACAGGGTATTACACTTTCAGGCTTGCTCGATTGTAGCGTTCTCTCTTGTTTTTTTTTTAATTTTGTCAGGGTTGAGATTTGTAACACTTTAGTACTAGGGACAGATCAGCTTTCCTGTGGTCCATTTTCGACCACTGTGCGGGTCTCGTTCATAAGGCATGACCGAGCTTGGTCCATTGTCCCATATATGGCATGTGTAAATGGTTATGTACAAGTATGTTTGGAGCCCGTATGTATATATGCATAAATGGGTGTACCATCCTTTTCTTTCTGCCAGTGCTCGCTCACATTCTATTTACAGTCTGGTAAACTCAACAGTAGGTGTAATTATTTGCACACCTCGTTGCGGACTATGTTCTATACCACTCATTATATAAACGGCCGCGGGCTCGATACAAAAACTGATACATGCATACATATGTTAAGTATGTATGTATAAGCACTTGTATGATATACGCATGTACACAAATTTTTTTATGCCCTTATTTTCGCATCTAGCTGGGAGGCAATGCTCAGTTACCCCAGCAATCCTCCCATCGA